CTCGATGTAAATATTTGGATATACTTTAATTAATGTGCAAGTGTAAAAAGCTTTCGTATTCTCTTAACAAAATCTTTTTAATAATACATAAAAAATATTATGAAAGACAGTAGATTTTATTTAAAAAGTCTAATTATTTATTTTTTAATCTCTCTATCTATTTAATCTATAAATGTCGCAATTATCAATTTTCTTATAAAATAATGATGTCGCAAACTTTGTGATAGTTAAAACATTAATGAATAAGTATGTAAACTCACTTAATTTATTAACCTACAACACATGGTCCAAGTCCTATACCTTCCTACCCTATAGCTTTTGGAATTAGATTTTTTATATTGAGTAGTGCATGTGTATAATGTTTAATCTCATTTTCAGCAAAATTAGTGATAAATTCTTAAAATTTCAAATAATTTTTTTAAAATATATATATATTTGTTGAGTTTTGCCTTGTATTCTATTACGACAGTAAGCAAACAAATAAACAAGGAGGGAGGAATGTGAAACTAGGTAATGATAGTTTTAGTGGTGGATAATATTGAATAATCGTGCATGTCATTAGTTCAAGAAAGCATGAACTACAAGACGTGCTTTTAAGTAATACATTATAATGGTACTTGCAAATGTCCCAAATGAGTCATGACATGAAGACTTTTTTTGTAGCCGAATCAAGAAGGAAAAAAAAGTTAGAATAGAATGTAAGATCCTGTAAAATATGATACTTAAATTTTATTTGTACAATTTTGAATAAAATTTAGAAAGAAAATAAAATGGAAAGAATTTAAAAAAAAATGATAAAATATCGAAATTAATTAATTTAAGCTTATTTTGTAAGATTTTCACAAATTAGACAATAATTTAAAGAAGTATAATTTTTTTAAAAGTTGGCATATGCCTATTCTAATTTAGGCTTTATGCAAATAACTTATTTAAATTATATAATAAAAAATAAAAAAAATTATAGATTATATGAGTTTTCAAGGTCTTTTTATATTTACTAAAATATCAAAATTTTATTTATTTTTTAAATTGAATAGTTTAATATGAGTTATTTACTTATAAATTTTTTAAATATTTATATATTTAAATTAACGATATTATATTATTTGACTAATAATCGAGTTGTAAATATTAAAAGTGATAAAATAAATTACATACATTGAATATAAATATTCAAAATGATAAGATATCAACTATAATTTATCCTTAAATTTTAGAATGTATGCCAACAATGCTAAATGGACTTAAATACCTATTTATTACATTTATGATGCCGTCCAAATTTACATATTTATATTTAAGGATTTTATAGAACGATTATCAATATATCAATGAAAAGAGGTTATATGAGCGATAATAAATTGTCTTACTAAAACTATATCCATTTGAAGGCATTAACATACCTATTTATAGTACAAATAATGATTGGTTACTTTGTGAATTTCATATGAGATTTTATAGATTACGATAAATAATAATTAGCAAAAGAGATTTCATATTTCTCAACAACGTTTGGTAGTAACTGCTCAAGTTTAACATATTTTCATTAGATGTTTCACGACACATCGTCCTAAAAATTGATAGTCAAATATAAGCTATTAATAAATGTTTGATAATTTACCTTTAATGTACGTGCCACTGACTCACCATCATAATCAACATGTTGGCTTACTTTAGTTGAATTTTGGTACAACATCAACTCTAGTTAAGTTCTATTAAGCTATTAATATCTTTCTATACGTAGCTTATATGATTATTTCTATCAATTAAATGTTATTTATATTTCTAATTATTCTATATTTTTACTTTAGTCTAATTTATTATATAAAGAAAAGTTAGCTAATACTAATAAAATTACACATAAGAATAACTTGAAATAAGATGAAACAATTTAT